CATTTTCAATGAACTTCACCAGCAATTCTTGCATCTACAAACCCAAATGAAATTCCTCTAAAAATATAACACCAAACTAAACCAAAAAAAAAAAAAAAAACCCAATAAACCAATCACAATTGTCCAAACCAATACTAGAAAACTCTATTCAGCTGCTGAGTAAATCGCCGGAAACAGAAAGAAACTCATTTTTGTCACTCCATTCAAACTTAACCAGCATGGTACATTCTTTGAAAAAGGAAAAATCGTAAGTGCTATCGTTTCATATCAAAATTTAAACTCAAGAAAAGAAAACCACACTAGTTACGAAATTATTTTTACTGGCAAAAGAGCAGAATTTCCTTAAACAGAAGTAGAACTTATTTCTGAGTTTCTACCTCGTCAAAGCAATCTGCCCACTGTCTCCGTAACAAACCATACACAACAGGCTCCCCCTCTTCCTCATCGCCAATCCTCAATATAGACTTCAAATCCCTCACCTCCTCAGCAACAAATCTCAGTCGCCCATTCTTCAACTCCTCTCCTGCCCCTTCCAACTTCTCGCAAATTCCAACAATTACTTTCACCAAACCCAACAATTCGCTCTTTACTCTTGCCTCCCTCGCCTTTCCTCCAATGTCATCCAGTCGCTCTCTAATCTCTACGTCGATCGGACAGTCAGAGATCAAATCAAAAGTATTGGACAAGCTGTGAGAAATGTCATCGGTTTTGGAAACGGCATCGTTGCAGAGGGAGAAGAGAGAAGAGAAGTCGTGGCGGTGAGCAAGGAGGTAGGAGTGGACTTTTGATTTGATTTGCAGAGAGTGAGACTCAAGGCGGGTGATGAGGAGGTGGAGATCCGGCGCCGAGAGAGCGGTGGTTGGATCAGAGAGGTCGTGGCTAGAGAGAAGATCCCGAACGTTTATTCTGTCGAAGAGTGAGTCCATTTCCGCTGATCCGATGGTCGGAGATAGCCGCCGGAGAATGGCGTTTGTCAAGTGGCTCTAAGGAACCTTTAGCATTCTGACGACGGTGAAGTGTAATCGAGGTTTGAGGCAGATAAGCTAACGTGCACCCACAGCTCAGCGTTTTTCTTCGGTTAAATGTGAATTTAGTCCATAAAATTTTTAATTTTGAACTTTTTTAGCCTTTAAATTATGAAAACTTTTAGTCCTTTAGTTAGTTAATCTTTTTAACTATCTATATATATTTTTAATCTTTAAATTATAATTTAAAAAGTAAAAATATGCATACATTATAAGTTTAAAAAATGAAAATGTGTATATTTAGATAAATACCAATGGATAGAAAGTTTAAAAAATATTTTTATAATTTAATAAAAAAATATAAAAATAATTTAAAAAATAAAAATATTCAAAATTAAAAATCTAAGAACTTAAAAAAGGCATTTAACCTTTTTTCTTGTTCAAACTTATTTGGGCTTTGGCATCTTCTCCATGTAGCACTTTTAACTTTTAAGTCTCGTTTTATTCCTTCTTTTCGTAAACTAATTGTCTTTGTCCTACTACCTAAGATGTTTTGTTTTAAATTTATATTCACTAATTTTGTCTACCTTTTATCCTCTAAGTGCTTTGAACAATTAAAGCATTTTTTTAAGTGAAAAATTTTACATATAATTAAATTTTTTATTTGTAATTTACTTCTCACTTCTACTTTTTCAAATGTTTGTTAGGTCATTTATTTAGGAGAAAAAATAGGAGTCTCAATTTTGTTCTTTATTTAAAATATTTTTCTTTGTACAATGATCTTTATTTGTTTCATGAGACTTGTCGAGATCCCCACCATGAGGGAAGGCAAGGATGGAGACACTTTCTCCTTGTGAAACTTGGTGAGAAATTTTTTAGAGTAAATGTACAAATAAGGATTCCAACTTTGCACTTTTTTTATTTAAGGATGTTAACTTTCTCATTTTCTAAATAAGGATATCAATTTTCAATTTTTTCCTATTTAAGAATGTCAACTTTCAACTTTTTCTATTTAAGGATATTAACTTTCAACTTTTTCTATTTAAGGATATTAACTTTCAACTTTTTCTATTTAAGGATTAATTGGTGGTGATGCTGACGCCAGCTAACATATTTTTTTGGTTATTTTTTAACCAATTCATCCTTAAACTTCAGAAAGTACCAAAAACGTCCTTCAACTTCAATTTTCAATTTCGTCTTTCCGTCAGTTAAATGTTGATGTAGCTAATTTTTTCGCTAAATGATTGACTATTTTACATTTTCAATATTAGGTGGAAAATCCATCATGTAAAAAATGATTATGTAGATTTTTTTAATTTTAAATAATTTAAAAACTACTTTCAATCTTAATTTTACTTTATTTATATTTAAAAATTAAAATAATTAATATATTTTCCCATTTAATTAGTCCCACCTACCATTTAATAAAATTAAATAAAAGTTAATTAATTCTTCCATGAATTAAGAAATAATTTTATTAATTGAAAATTGAAGTTAAAGGACATTTTCGATATTTTTTGAAGTTCAAGGATGAATTGGTTAAAAAATAAATGTTGAGGGACCAATTTAGGTATTTAACCTAAAAAATTATGTTAGCTGACGTCAGCATCACCTCTAATTAATCCTTAAATAGAAAAAGTTGAAAGTTGATATCCTTAAATAGAAAAAAATTGAAAGTTGACATATTTATTTAGAAAATGACAAAGTTAATATCCTTAAATAGAAAAAAGTGCAAAGTTGGAACCCTTATTTGCACCTTTACTCAAATTTTTTATGTAGAAATTCCCTTCTAATTTAAGTATTTACTATGAGCAATCAACTATAATCAACACTCATTCTTTATGCTCTCTATCCCCATCCCTTATCTAACTCTTTATTTCTCTCCACTCAAGCTTCCTTTAACTTTATTCTCTCTGTTCCTAAGATTTTTTTTCTACAAATCTCTCGTATTTATTTTTTGAGGGTCTTTTTTGAAAAACAAAAAGATGAGTCCATGTCATTGTCCACGTCAAATCATCGAGTCAAATCCTCAATCAAAGATGGATATGCATTATTAACATCACCCTAATTACTAGCTAAAACAACAAGACCAATGTGAAATAATTCATTGGAAAATAATATGCCAAGGTTTCTATTATTGTAGGAAAAAACCAAATTTTATAAGGCATATTGACTCTTTCTTGTGATATAAAATTCATCAAAGAGATAGGCTATCCTTTGATAATTCTTCGTGCATGGTGGTGTAGTGCTCAACAAGCTTCATAGCTAGAACTAACCCTCTAACAAAGTGACATTAACATCAAGGTCCTGCCAATTGCAAATAATAGGCTAAACTTCTCAAGAAACCCTCATGTCTCATGGACAAAGGGTTTGGCTTGTATGTTAGCTCCATTTCATATACAAACAATGAGCTTAATTCCTTTTCAAAGTCCTCCTAATCATAGAAGATAATGCACTTAATTTCAAAGGCATTAATTCTTCCAAAGCTTGGAGCTTGATAAGGAAGTGGGTCACCTCTCAACGATTAAATATGTGACGAAATAAGGTTTGACGAACTATATCCTCTAACACAATATTAGCATAGGTGTGACTAGCATTGACCTTCCTTATAGTTGCCATAACTTGAATCCTACACCAAAAAAATTTGTTTTTATCTCTACTTAATTTCACTCAAGTCTTAACAAAACTCAAATTTTACCCAGTTAACTGAAAATCCTTAAAAAATTTTGGCCTTTCACAAAAATATTAATTTTATATAGATATTAAACTTTAAATGAAAATTCTTCAAAATTTTTGAGCTCTAATGTGACATGGGAATTAATATGAAAAGTTTTGTCAAGAAAAATTGAGATTAACTTTAATTATATTAATGTCATTTCCTACCAAATTGAGAAAATAAAAAATCAAGGTTTCATGTTGCAAGGGCTTAAATGTAAGAAGGCCAAGTTTAAGGATCAAAAAGATAGGTGACTAAAAGTTGTGGATAGAAGCTCAAATTTGACCCCTTTAAAATGATGTCGTTTTGGCTTTAAGAGATTAAAATCAAATTGGCTTCCCCTTTTAGGGCACCATAGTAGCTCTATCTTGATCCACTAATAATTTGACAACTCATCTATGTTAGGACACACAATCAAAGCTATTGATAAGTGAAATTAATATGAAACATTAGAGTTTTAACACCATTTACTTTGAAATCATTATGTCAACATTCACTATTAGAAAACAAAGCAAAATTGACAAACTTATAACTGATAGTCAATTTGTTGTTGATTATACCGTTATAATTGACAACTTTTTTGTTGGTTATACTTACTTTGTCAGTTATGTTTCATTTTTCAATTATTATTGACCATTAATATAATCGATAGAAAAGCTGTCAATTATAATGTTATAATCGACAAAAAATTAGCTATCGATTAAATATAATCGATAGCTTTTGGTTGTCGATTATATATTGACTATAATTGACAAAATAATTGTCGATTATATTATTAAACAATGCCATTTGTAGTTAATAGTTCTAATGACAAGTATAACCAACAATTATGGTTGTTGATTATAGTCATTCATTAACTCCCTTTTTCCCTTTGTTCCCCATTTCTTCTTCTCCTTTCCCAATAGGTTTACTATCTTCTCCAATGATCTTTGCACCCTTTTTATCGTTGCCATTTGTGGTTACTTGAGTAACTCGTCTACGCACCCTCTGGTTTTTGAATCTTTGTGCCATTCATTAATCCCCCCCTTTCCCTTTGTTCCTCATTTCTTCTTCTTCTTCTTTCCTAGTAGATCAACTATCTTCCCCAATGATCTCTGCACCCCTTTTGCCATCGTCATTTGTGGTTACTTAAGTAGCTTATCTTGCACCCTCTTCGGTTTCAAAATCTCCATGTCGGTGATAGTAAATTTGCTCTTCTCTATGTTTATTTCTTTTTCTTTTTTTTTTTTGGGTTTCCTTGGATTTACAATAGTTAGTCCTATTTCTTCATGTAGATCTATTCTATATATCCAATCTCCACTACCTCCATTCCGCCCAAAGGAGATAACCCACCCATTGTTGTTAACTTGCCTGCAAATTTGGATTTATATTTACAAGAGCCAATATTTCTTTTTTACAGATCCAAAATCCAACCTTCATTGTCTCTACCTCACTAACCCAGCTAGAGACTGCTACCAACTTACCCCTTAGATGGTTACTTTCTTCACCGAGAATTTGGAGAATTTTTTCATGGTTTTTGGATTTATAGTAACTTATCCTCTATTCTCTTTATAGATTTTAGATCCGGCCTATATAGCATTACTGTATCCACTGTTAAAGGTAATTAAAGTTTTTTCTATATAGAGTTATTTCTTTCTATTTTTTTGAGATTGAGATATTTAGGCTAATTGAAGTGTAATTTTTATTAAATTTGTATATATAAAGTTTAGGGATTTCAAATTATTGCATTTGAAATCATGTTGAGATGTGTATGGCTATTGAACTTAAGTGATATATATTGAATTATAAAGTTATTTCAAATTATATATATTGAATTTTTATATATAAAGTTATTTACTTCAAATTATTGATTTTAAGATTGAGTTTGAGAATAAGACTGAGATATGAATGGTAATTGAAGTGTTATTTTTATTAAATTTATATATATAAAGTTAGGGATTTTGAAGTATTGGATTTGAAATTGAGGTTGCAATTGATATTGAGATTGAGGTTGAGATGCATATAGGTTTTGAAGTAAATTGATATTTATATTTAATTTCTATGTACAAAGTTATTTATTTTAAATTATTGATTTGGAGATTGAGATTGAGATTGAGATTGAGATTGAGATGTGTTTAATATTGAACTAAAATGATATTTATATGGATTTTCTATATATAAAGTTATTTATTCAAATTTAGATTTGGATCTATAGAAGCTCATTTTTCCTTTTTATAGATCCCTGTAAATCCAAAATCCAACCTTCATCACCTCTACCTCACCACTCTAGCCAGAGAATGTTGTTGCCTTGCTCCTCGTTGCCCCTCGTTGCCCCTCATTGCCCTTCATTTCTCCTTGGACGGCCAATTTCTTCACCAAGAATTTGGAGAATTTTGCCATGGTTTTTGGGTTTACAATAACTAATCCTTCCTTCTCTTTATAGATTTTAGAACCAAATCTAGCCTGTGTGGCATTAACATACCCACTACTAAAGGTAATTGGTGTTTTTTCTATATATAAGTTATTTCTTTCAATTATTTTAAGATTGAGATATTTAGGCTAATTGAAGTGTTATTTTTATTAAATTTGTATATATAAAGTTTAGGGATTTCAGATTTTTGCATTTAAAATTGATGTTGAGATGCGTATGGCTATTGAACTAGGGTGACATTTATATTGAATTTTTATATACCAAGTTATTTACTTCAAATTATTAATTTTGGGATTGTGTCTAAGAATGAGATTGAGAAATGTATGCTAATTGAAGCGTTATTTTTATTAAATGGTTAAATGCTTAATTTGGTCCCTCAACTTTAAGAAATGAACATTTTTGATCCCTCAACAATTTTTTACACTTTTTTGATCCCTCAACTCTAAGAAATGCACACCGTTAGTCCTTTTGTTAATTTCCACCGTTAACTCCGCTCATGTGGCATTTTTTATATTTTTTTTGATGATGTGGAGGGTAAAATTTAAAAAAATGATGATATGGATAAAATATTTTGCCACGTAGAGTTACTGTCACTTAAAAAAGACAAATCTATTCAAATGGCCCCACATCACCAATTTCTTGGCGACTTGTACTCCGAGGTTTCATTCATCTTCCCGTTCGTTGCCTCTTACCCATTGTAGAAGAATCTCGCTCCAATAAGCTTCTTATTACATGAACTCGATCCAAAATCCTTCGTCGTCACGCATTGCCCTTTCCATTTTGCAGGAATCGAACCCAAATCCCAGTCATTAAAACTCTGCCACTCAAGCCATATCCCGGTATCAAAAAGCTCAATCACAAGATCAGATCCAAAATCAAATTCCTTGAAGGTTTTTCATGGCATCCTACTGAATCAAAAAGCTCAATCTCAAGGGTCCCAGTCATTAAAACTCTGCCACTCAAGCCATATCTCGGTATCAGAAAGCTCAATCACAAGATTGGACCCAAAATCAGATTCCTTGAAGGTTTTTTCATGACATCCTACTGAATCAAAAAGCTCAATCTCAAGGGTCCTGGTCATTAAAACTCTACCACTCAAGCCATATCCCGGTATCAAAAAGCTCAATCACAAGATCGGACCCAAAATCAGATTCCTTGAAGGTTTTTTCATGACATCCTACTGAATCAAAAAGCTCAATCTCAAGGGTTTGGCATCCTACTGAACCATGACAATGAAGGTTTTTTCATCAGCCTGTGAAGCAGAAGAAGCAGAAGAATCGAACCAGATCTGGGTTCCACGAAACCCAGTTTGCTGGGTTCCGTCAAACCCAGTTTGCTAGGTTTGGTGAAAGAAGAGAAGAAGAGAAAGAAAGAAAGAAAAAGAAAAAAGAAAGGAAAAAGATGGATCGAAAGAGGGGAAGAAGATGTATCAAGAAAGGAGACAGGGGTATTAAGGTAAATTTATAATTTTTTAATTTTTTTATTAAGGCAAATTTAGTTTATGAGGTGTCGTTGACACGTCATAAAAAAAAATCCAGATCAACACTTTTAAAGTTATTTTTGCCATGTCATAAAAAAAAATATAAAAAATGCCACATAGCAGAGTTAACGGTCGAAATTAACAGAAGGACTAATGGTGTGCATTTCTTAGAGTTGAGGGATCAAAAAAGTGCAAAAAATTATTGAGGGACCAAAATGTGTAACTCACTAAAGTTGAGGGACCAAATTTAGCATTTAACCTTATTAAATTTGTATACATACAATTTAGGATTTCAAAGTATCATGTTTGAGATTGAGGTTGAAATTGATATTGAGATTGAGGTTAAGATACATATGGGTATTGAACTAGAGTGATATTTATACTTAATTTCTATATATAAAATTATTTATTTCAAATTATTAAGATTGAGATTAAGATGCATATTGGTTGTTGAACTAAAGTGGCATTTGTATATATTGAATTTATATATAAAGTGATTTATTTCAAATTATTAAGATTGAGATTAATTTGCATATGGCTATTGACATGTATGATTATTGACATTTTGATTTGATTATTGTGGCTGACATGTTAATATACATTATCAAATTGAAATTCAGATTAGGTAATTAAATGATAAAGGACCATAGTTGGATAGATTGTTGTGTAAATAATTACGGTTTGTTACTAATGAATTTAAAGAGAGGATGCAATTTTTTGTCAAATTTGCATACTCTAGACCCAAAGCAAAATCAAAGATCAAGTGTCTGTGTTCAAAATGTAAATGTAGGAAATGGGGGAACCCTGAGATTTTTTTCATGTAATTTTATAAGCATGGATTTATGAACAACTATTATATATGGTGTGTCTATGGAGACATCCAACAATCTAGCAAAAAACTCTGAAGGGGAATCTTCTAACATGGTGTTTGTTAAAAACGAGGCAAATGCAATGTTCCATGAAATGTTAGTTGATGCAATAGGTCCACAACCTAAATACAATGAGGGGCTAATGGTTGAGGAGCCAAATAATAAGGTAGGAGAATTTTATAATCTTCTACATGATGTAGAAATTTATATAGGTGGTGGGGAACAGAATGTGACAAATCTTTCATGGATGATAGAAATGCTAAACATGAAGACTCTTTCTAATATGAGTGCTGCTAACTAAGAGATGGCATTATCATTAAGTCGAAAGTTGTTGAGTGTAGGGACCAAGAAAAGGTGCTGAAAGATTTCTATAATGCTAAAAAAAGGTAAATGTGCTTGGATTTGGATACAAGAAAATTGATGTTTGCATCAATAATTGTTTCTTGTACTATGATGAGCAAAGTAAGAATTTAACTGCTTGTCTGATCTATTGAGAATCTCATTATAAACTAAGGCACATGGCTGCAGTGAGGTGGAAAGCTGTTATGAGAAAATCTTTGTGGTACCTTCAAATTACCGCAAGATTGCAATGCTCTACATGTTTAGGAAAATGGCAGAGCACATGACATGGCATTTGAAAAGCCATGATGCTTCTAATGAAGTTATTCACCCTGTAGGTGGTCAGGCATGGAAGTTATAATACCCCAAATTTTTTTGAAATTTTAGAATTTAAGTTAGGGACTTATGTGGTAGAAATTATTATTGTTGGGCATAATAATTAAAATTCACAAACCAAATGGGTTAAAAGTGAAATCTGGTGATAAAAAGGGGCTAAGGCTAATTTTCTTTCTCCTTGCCCATTTCTGCATGTTTCTTCTATTGTACCTATGATTTTGATGATTACAAAACACATTTAAGTGCTTAATTGATTCATTTAAGTGTGCAGTTAAACTGCTATAAGATAGCAAAGTAAGTAAATTAGGATTGCACTAAAAATTGACCAAAAAGGCTGGACTATGCAGAGAGCCAAGTTTAAAGATATTTGTAGTTGGCTTTGGAAGGTAAAATTGCAGAAAGCCGGCTCTAGAAGCTACAGCCGACTTTACAAGTGAAAATTTCAAGTCCGTTGTTCGGTGCATGTGGAAAATAAACGCAAAGCCAGCTCTGACTTTGCAGCCGGTTGTGACGACGCATTAAATGCACAACAGTCAAGTTATTTAAAGATTTCTTTAATATTTTAAAGTCGGCTTTTCAAAGCTGGCTTTACATTTGCAACCAGCTCTCGAGGGAAGTAGAATGGGTAGGAAACCCAAAAACTCGGCTTTACGTCTTGCAACCAACTTTAAAGAAAAACAAAATATGCAGGAAACCCACAAAGGCAGCTGCATATTTTTAAATTTAGTTGTGGAGCTAGCTTTAGAAGTCTAAGCCAGCTATGTTGACAATTTTGTAATTTAAAGTTACACATCTTGTAGAGCATTAAATGACCCCAAACGACTAGTAATGGCTATTTTCGACCATGGGGTTATAAATATAATTGGTAGCAGATCTTAAATAAGTTTGAAGAGCGTTGTATTAAATATATTTACCTACCAACTTGTGCTTTAACTTGAGATTTTGATATTTGAGAGATCTTTACTTGTAATCTTCTTCTTGTTCTATTTGTGCGTGATTTTGAGGGTGTGATTATTTCTTCAAGAGTGATTTGTAGAGAGGATTGTTTGGGTTTATCTTGTAAAAGGGTGAAATACTCATCTTCTTGTAAAAGGATTGAGTGGCTCCTTTAAGCCACCCTTGTTCTTAATAGTGTAGAGTGTGGAGGAAATCCTCGGTGAGTGAAGCCGGGGTAGAAGATTAGGCTCCAAGTGGTTGGATCGAACCTCCATAAAATCATTGAGCAGGTTCTTCTTCCTTACTCTCTTTAATTCTTTATTTTGTGGCTACAAAGAGGAGAAAATTTTTGAACTCCAATTCACCCCCCTCTTGGAATGCATTGAGCCAGTAATTGGTATCAAAGTAAAGGCTCCAATTTGAAGGTTTAACCACCTAGGAGTTGATCAAGGATGGCTTAATTTCAAGCTTCTTTACCACTTGAAGGTTTGTCTACCATTAAGCCTCCTTTTTTTTATGGCACTAATTATATTTATTGAAAGAATAGAATGAGGGTCTACATGCTTGCAAATGAGCCCAAGGCATGGATTGTGACTTTAAAAGGTCCATATGTGCCTATGAAAGTTGTTAGAGAAAGTGAGGTGCCAAAGGAAGAAGTTAAATGGAATGATGAAGACTTGGGGAAGATCATGATCAACAACAAAGTAATCAACATGCTTCAATGTGCTTTCCAATGGAATTCCATAGAGTATCCGGATGTGATACAGCCAAGGAGATGTGGGACATGTTGGAGGTAACACATGAAGGACCAAGTCAAGTGAAGGAGTAAAAAATCAATAGACTCACTCACATGTATGAGCTTTTCAAGATGAAATCAGAGGAGAGCATTCAAAATATGTATACAAGATTGAATGATATAGTCACCAATCTCAAGACTCTTGGTAAAGTCTATCCTTCTCAAAAAATGGTGAGGAAGGTTCTTAAAAGCTTGCCTAAGAATTAGGAAGCCAAGAAGACCGCAATTGAAGAGTCTGAGGATCTCAAAACTCTCAAGCTTGATGATCTTATTGGAAACTTGATGACATATGAGATTGATGTTCAAGTTTATGGTCAAGTTGAAGTAGTTGAGAAGAAAGACAAGAAGAACAAGAATAAGAAAGCTTTTGCCACCACTTGGAGTGATGATAAAACTAGCTCAATGGAAAGTGAAAGCTCATTGGAGAATGGTGTTGCAAATCTTTGCTACATGGCTTAAGAGGATAGCAAAAATGATGAGGAGATAAACTTTTACTTCTTTAGTTCAATTAATGAAAGTTCATTTGAGTATTCTTATGATGATTTATGCAAAGTTCTTGATTGCTCTATGAATGACATCAAGAAACTAGGAAATGAGATTCTTGCTCTTACTAAAACCATTTCATTGCTTAGGAATGAGATTGAATCTCTCTCAAAACAAAGTGAGGTTTTAGTTAAAGGGAATACCTCTTTAAATGTTGAGATTGCATATTTAAAGAATGAGGAATCTAATAATACTTTAAAAAAGGAAAATGAGGATTTAAAGAGGAAAGTTGATGATCTTGAAAAAGTGATTTCTAAATTCACTTTAAGTAAAGAAAAGTTTGATTCTATTTTGAATTCTCAAAAAAGTGTTTATAATAAAAGGGGCATATGATTTGAGTATCCTAAAGAGCAAAGAACTTTAAAGAATTCCTTTGGAAAAACAAGTCAATCCTCTTATCCTAAAGTCACTTGCTATTGTTGTGGAGCTAAAGGATACTTTGCTTATGTATGTCCTTTGAAGAGATTGATACCTCAAGGCAAAGTAAAGCAAATTTGGGTACCAAAAATCAAAACTTGATTTTGTTTTGTACGTAAAGTTGATGGCAAAGTCATAAGACAAGCAAAGTTGATCTTGATAGAGACTTATGCCTCAACAAGAATGTTGGAGTGAAAATGCAAAGAAAAATTTGTTTTTGAATGCTCCACTCATGTGATCAAATTGGTGTCATTTATCCTATTGCATTTATTCATTAAGTATAATTACATTAGCATGACTATTAACTATTTATTTATATGTGCTCACTCTTTAATATATATGCTTGTTAAGTATGATAGCATTTGATGTGTCTTTTCTAGTGTTGATATTAGAAATCAATTAACTGATATATTTACAATGCCTCTTGATTGTGATAGGTTTTACTTTATTAGAAATGAGCTTGGCATGTTAGATCCTAGTGCTTGATATGGTTCTTGAACTTGAAATTAATGTATTTGCTTATTAGAATTTATGTAAATTGATGACATTGATATGTGTACCTTGATTATAATCATGTCATTTGTTGATGCACACATTGATATATGACTAAAATTGCATAATTTTGTAGTTGATGTCCAATTTAAACTTAGTTAAATGAAGAAATATCAAATTAAGGTGCATTTTCTTCAAAACAGCCCCAAACCTTTATTTGTACCAATCAAGCCCAGTATAGCCAGCTGCAAATTTTTCACTGTCGACTCAACCCAAAAAAACAGAATGTCGAGATTCTCCAAGTTAAGCCAGCTTTCATCCCATAGTTAGCTCACCCGAGAGTAAGTCCGACCCGAACCTGCATCACAGCTAGCTCTTCAATTATAGCCGGCTTTCTTGGCATTTTTAACACCATCGGGTCTTCTCTTTCTTTGCACCAGATCAATTCTGTTTTTCTCCACAAAACAAGTCCTTTCCTCTCCCAAACACCCAAATCGCTCTAGATTTGCCAAATCCACCATTTAAATGCTTAAATATCTCAAAAACCTTGCAAACCCAACACAAATCTTCAAGCTTTTGCTTCAATTTTGTGTGGCATTTGCTATTCTCTCTCTGTCATGGCTTCAGAAGGGTTGGAAGCAAAAGAAAACAAGTGGGAAGTTTAAGTTCTGGGGGTCAGGCTCAGGAAGAAGGTAACATCTTTGATTCTAGTCTCTTCTGGGATAAGGAAGCTTTTAAAAAGTATGAATCTGTCAAGAATTTGATTGTTCTCCATTGCAATAGTGTAAAATTTAGTCAATTCTCTCAAGGTGATATTCATGTTGAAGAAATATTTAGAGAAATTGGGTGGATAAATTGTTTAGATATTAAAGAGCCTGTGTATAATGAAGTAGTTCATCAGTTTTATGCTAATTTGAAACCAAAAAGGGATAAATGCAAAACCATGGTTTCTGGGGTGCCATTTCAGTTTTCACCAAGAGAAATTTGTGCTACATTAGAATACTAGAGGGTGGAGATGATGAATTTGAGAATATAAAACATGGAGAAATTAAAGCCATAATTGCCCTAAGTTGCACAGCAAGTCAAATTAATGTGGGGTTTCTTACACCCGAAAACAAAGCCTTACAGTGGATCATTAGTCGTATTCTTGCTCAAAGGAAGGGATCTAAGTCTGTTGCAATTGGTAGTGATTTACCATGGTTTGATTATCTTCTCAAATGGAAAAGGCTGAATCGTGGTATATTTATTTACTGGAACCTAATCAAGAATTACTCATCAAATATGGGGCTTCTTCATGGTGCTCTGATTACTAGATTGATGAAGAGGGAGAATATTGATCTTACACCTTATAGGCTTGGAAAGATTCAAGGTGGGACTACACTCAAAAAGGCCTCATTTGAGAATATACAATATGAGCTTCGGAATGGCTTTTGGAGGAAGAAAGTGGATCAAGCAATGGAACAACAAAAGGATGAGGAAAAAGGAGATGTAGACCAAGAAATGGCAGAGCAGGGGGAAGAAGAACATGGAGGTGACAGCCAATGACCCTTTCAAGCCTCCATGCAAAGGACTAATCGCGAGACCATGGAGCTTATGATGAATTAGATGCGGCAATTGCACACTGGCTTTTATGATTTTTGGAAGGAGATGAGAGGGAGGATGGATACTATGGATGGAAAGCTTGATCAGCTTGTTAACCACTTTTTCCCTCCACCCCCACCTAGTACCTCTCTTTTGGCTAATCTTTAGGATGGACATCATAGGCACATTCATTTTCATTTTTAGATTGTCTTTATTTTACTTTCTTGTGTTTGGTGGCTAAGACTAAATGCTACTTTGTTAAATATGTTGCCTTTTTAATGTTCTATGATTGTGAATTTTAATGGCATGTGACCTTGGTATGGTATTATATTAATGGCGTGAGTTGTGAGCTTTATTGTTGATGGTTGCCTATGATTTTGATGATTATCAAATGCTTTTATTGAGGGGGAGCAATTTGTGGATATTATACTCAAATTACGTATTTTTTATGCTTTAAAGTTTGATATGCATGAATTAAGGGGGAGTTTATTGATTATGTTTGTATACTTTTGATGGATGACAAAATGGGGAGAAAGTATGCTGAATTTATGCTGAACTTACTATCATTTTCTAGTGTGTTTTGATGCTAAATTTCTGGTTAATTTTGAAGTCTATATGTGCTTTCATTGAAATATATATGTACTTTCATTAATTCATTTTCAAAGTGTTTTGTCATCATAAAAAAGGAGGAGATTGTTGTACCTATGATTTTGATAATTACAAAACACATTTGAGTGACTAATTGGTTCATTTAAGTGCGCAGTTAAACTGCTAAAATATAGCAAAATAAGTAAACTAGAATTGCACTAAAAATGGACCAAAAAGGCTAGATTGTGCAAAGAGTCGGCTTAAAGAAATCTGCAACCAGCTTTGGAAGGTCAAATTGCAGAGAGCCAACTGTAAAAGCTATAGTCAGCTCTATGGGTGAAAATTTCAAGTTCGTTGTTTGGCACGCACGAAAAATAGATGTAAAGCTGGCTCTGATTTTGTAACCGGTTGTGACGACACATTAAATGCACAATGATCAAGTTATTTGAAGATTTCTTTAATATTTTAAAGTTAGATTTCCAAAGCCAGCTTTACATTTTGCAACCGGCTCTCGAGGAAAATAGAATGGGCAAGAAACTTACAAAGCTAGCTTTACATCTTGTAGTCAGCTCTCGAGAAAAACAGAATGTGCAGGAAACCCACAAAGCTGGCTGTATATTTTTAAAGCTGGCTGTGGAGCTGGCTCTAAAAGTCTAAGCTAGCTGTGCTAACAATTCTGCAATTCAAAGTTACACGTCCTGCAGAACATTACATGACTTCCAATGACTAGTAACGGCTATTTTTGACCATGGGGTTATAAATATGGTTGGTAGCAGATCTGGAATAAGTTTGAAGAGCATTGTATTGAATATCTTTACCTACCAACTTGTGCTTTAACTTGAGATTTTGATCTTTGAGAGATCTTTACTTGTAATCCTCTTCTTGTTTTATTTGTGAGTGATCTTAGGGGTGTGATTATTTTTTCAAGAGTGATTTGTAGAGAGAATTGTTTGGGTTTATCTTGTAAAGGGGTGAGATTTGAGAGAAATACTTATCTTCTTATAAAAAAAATTGAGTGGCTCCTTTAAGCCACCCTTGTTCTTGATATTGGAAAGTGTGGAGGAAATCCTTGGTGAGGGAAGCCAAGGTAGAGGACTAGGCTCTAAGTGGTTGGACCGAACCTCTATAAAATCATTGAGCAAGCTCTCTTTCCTTACTCTCTTTAATTCTTTGTTTTATGGTTACAAAGAGGAGGAAAATTTTGAACTCCAATTCACCCCCCTCTTGGAGTGCATTGAGCAAATATCTCCCAGCTCCTCACTCGAAGCTCTATAGCCACAAGCCCTAAATTGCCCCTGCACCTCCTCATTGTGACAAATTGGTAAAAACTTAGCTTTTCTTCTTTCTCCTAGAAAGGGTTAGAGATTTATGAGTTTATGGGTCTCAAAATCATGATCAAACCCAAATCTTCTTATTGATATTCCCTAATTTTCTGATTCATGTCAGGTTCTTCAGTAGTGTAAGGGGAGGTCACCATCGTTCTAGCACTTTCTCGTAAGAAATAAATTATATTGCTCATCTTTTCATCTTTAATTTGAATTGGGTTAACTCTAATCCTTTAGGGTTTTTAATTTTTGGATTTTTTTGCAGTTTCCCCATTGATTTTGTCCATAATCTAGTATCACCAGAAATTGATTCCTTTTCTTTGTTGGAAATTCTAATAGCCTGACCATGCAGTAGTGTTTGGCCCATAACTCTTTTTGTAGCTATTGGATTGAGTTCATTCTTAATCTATAGAAAGTTAAAAGATAACCCTACACTTTTTCTACTGGATGTTTAACTCAGTTAAATTGTTTTCATGGTGATAACTCTGCTGCTAGTTTAGTCCCTAAAGGCAGACAGAATTGGTAGCTCGACCTTAAGTTAGTATTTTGGCCATAACTTTTTGTGTACATATCGAATTAAGTTGATTCTTGATCCTATAGAACACTAAGACAAAGAGCTACAATTTATCTATTGACCATTCAACCAAATTGGTCAATTCTTGGGCACGAATTCTATTGAAACATCTGGTTCAAAATCTAACCAGAGCTTTCCCAAAAAATTTATTCTATTTTCTACTCAATTCCCACATTATTTACTGCCACATCGCATCATTGTTTTAGTAGACTTTTTGCTATTGTTTTCCTACTCTAAAATCCCTTGTTATTTTTTATTTTGTAGCCCTTTTTCTTTTTGGTTAAATCCCCATTTTGGTCCCTGAACTATTGTACGGACCCTCGATTTGGTCCCTGAACTAAAGAAATCCCTGATTTAGTCCTTAAACTATTGTACGGACCCCGATTTGGTCCCCATTGTTTATAATTTGACCTAATTTGATCCTTGAACTATTGTACGGACCCCCAATTTGGTCCTTACTGTTTACAATTTCGCCCCAATTTAGTCCCTAAGCTATTATTTAACAGAAGGACCAAGTTGGGGTTAAATTGGTAAATAGTAGGGACCAAATTGGGCATCCGTACAATAGTTTAGGGACTAACTTGGGAGTCCGTACAATAGTTTAGGGACCAACTTAGGGATCCGTACAATAGTTCAAGGACCAAATTAGGGATTTCTTTGGTTCAGGGACCAAATCGGGGGTCCGTACAATAGTTCAGGGACCAAAATAGGGGTTTAACCTTTCTTTTTTTGTTGTCCATTTCTACCTAGTTTTGGCTTGCAATCTACCATGTTTTGCTATTGTCTTTCTGCCCAGAAATCCTTGTTGTTCAAGGTTTTTCTAAAATTTTTGGGACTACTTTAAATGGAAAAAACCCTTACTTTTATTGCCAATACTGCTGCTAATGTCTAGGATGGTTTTGAGCTTAGTTTTCCACATTTTTCCATATTATTCTACCCAAAAAAATTTGTTTGGAATACCTACTATTTAGTGTGACATTTGAAGCTATTTTAAGTCTATTTTAAGTATTCATTTGATGTGGTATAGGTTCTAAATCACCTCAACAGTCTTGAGTCTTTGAATTCTTGCTTGTTGTTTACCTACAAGTCGAGATAAGTAAAATTGTGGCAAATGCCTTTGGATTTTAAGGTAAAAGTTTTAAAAGCATTTGGATTTTAAGGTAAAAGTTTTAAAAGCATTTGAACTATTTTTTGAGATGATGGTACAATTTAAATTGATTTTTATTAGCACATGAGCATGACCAGTTTGACATGAAGTTGTTATTGTTTTTCTTGAGGTAAGCATGTCTACATGGAGTGTACTTGTTTATTCTAGAAATTTGAAAATATTGGTTTGTAAGTTATGACTTTCCTATTAACTCCTGTGTATTTGTATATTATGGATTTTCTTGTTGAACTCTTGCATGGTTCTGTCTCTAATATGGTCATGATTACTGATGCCTGCCAGTGGGAGTTTGTAAACACTGGCACATGTCGACATGTATATCTGTAGAATCAATTCGTTCTGTATTCTTACTAGTGGAATACTGCACTGGTTATTACTGACACCTACTAGTGGGAGTTTGTTAAACATTGTCCATGACTAATTGAAAAGACCATTATTGAGTTTTATTATCCATTTATGGTTTGTAATCAAGATATTTCTCCTTCTGTTTATGTCTTAAATTGTTTAATTGGCATGCTTTAACTTTAAGTAAGGGCTACCCATATTTTTACTTACTGAGTTATCTCACATACTTTTTTTCCTCGTCTACCATTACAAGTAGCGTGACCCAAGACATGGGAAACCAAGGGGAGTGATGAGCTAGAAGGCTAGCCACTTGTATTTTGAATTTAGATTATTTTGGAGTTAGGCTGTTGGTCAAATTATTTTTGGACGTAGAGTTGTATTAATTTTTGTGCACTCTTGGCCTAGTAAAGCTTGGATTATAAAAGCCAAATTTTATTTCAAGATTTGGATCTTAGTGGGCAATATGAATTAAATAGGTTCCAAGCCTTGTGCATTTGTGGGATCCTCTCACAAGTGTACGGCATCTGTTTCACTCTTAGTTTTGGGGCGTGATAGAAGCAGTTTGATGAAACTTACCCAACATTTGCTGAAGAAACTAGAAATGTCAGACTTGGGTTGTGCACAGATGATTTTAATCCATTTGGCGCCATGGCAGCAACTTACTCTTGTTGGCTTGTTTTTGTTACAATCTATAACCTTTCGCCTGAATTATGCATGAATTCAAAGCTTATATTCTTGTCCTTGATAATTGTTGAACTTAAAAGTTCAAGGAAAAACATTGATGTCCTACATAGGCCATTAATTGATGAACTTAATGAATTATGGACAAATGGGATTACAACTTATAACAGCTTTAGAAAATAGAATTTTATCATGAAAGCTGCACTATTATGAATTGTAAGTGCTTTTTCAAGTTATGGCATATTGTCTAGATGGAGCACACATGGCAGGTTGTCATGCTTGCATGACATGGCGGACACTAAGGGTTTTCAACTTCAATATAGGAGGAAAACATCATTTTTTAATTATCATCGTTAATTTCTAACTTAGACACATCCATTTCGTAAAGATATAAAAAATTTCTAAGTAAACAGAAATGAAAGAAGCCCTCCCCTCTAAGACTAGATGGTCATTTGATGGAGGAGTGGGTTAACGAGTTGCCTAACATAGTCTTTGGCTGATAACTTCGGTGTTTTCCATAATTGGGTGAAGCATAGCATATTTTGGGAACTACCATATTAGAAGGATTTATGGATTTATCATAA